TTTTTAGTAGGGAAGGCTTTGCCCCTGAGATACACAGAACTCTCCCCAGATGGCCCATTTGTCTACGTCTGTGCCAGCCATGGAATTTTACCCTCTTCAAAGCTTCTGAACCCCGCGATCTCCCGCCCATGGGAATGTCATACCTGTTTCAGTTTATGTCAGGAATGACATCAGAAAGACAAAGAAATACAACTTTCACACGGTCTATAAACATTTATTGAGTCCGTGCAATACACCAGCCACTGGACTAAACAGAATGGAAAGCATAATAAACACAATGTATCACCTTCATCTAGCGGAGGCAGGCCAGTCCAAGTGATCACAAAATGAATACACAATTACAAACTGCTGAGTGCCAGGAGGAACTGTATACAGTTAGGAGAGCTTACAGCAGAGAGCTGACTTAAGGGGGATGGGGGGGGGGCGGGTGTCAGGGAAGGCTGCCCCGAGGAAGTGTGGCTTTGTGGCCCTAGTTTTGACATCGCGCTAAGCTGGAGAGCTTCCGAGTTGCCCAAGTTCCTCTGGACTGCAGTGGCCCCTCCACAGTCAGCTCTCAAACAGCGGCTGTGATGGTTATGATGGAACCACAAAGCTCAGAGGAAACTTCTCTGCTCTCTTTGGACAAGCTGCTTAAGTTGTCCCAGAGCGCGGGGCCATCTATGTACTTTAAACTTAGTTTCCCACAAGACAAATTCCCTTAAGGAAAGTCCTGCAGCCTACTATGCAACCAGATCGCCTGCTCCAGCAAACAAATCAGTTTCTTCCTGATATCAAGTTTGGGGGTGGGGGGGCGGAAATCATTTAACCCGTCTAACCAATGGTGGTATAACTCATGTCAAACAAGAGTCCTACACGGCGTCTTAAGGAAATTTGCTACTTCCGTTTAACCCCCCAGCCCGTGCCTCAGTTTCTTTCCTCTAAAACCAGCCACCTGTGTACTTCCGTTGGACCTATATGCGATTGCTTCTAGGATCCTTAAAGGAAATTGGAACATATAATAATTTAAACCACTTAAAGGGATATATGGGTTTTCTAAATATATATTTCAGCTTAGCAAGGTCCTTCTAGTAGCAGGTCTGAGTCAGAGCTCTGATGAAAGAGAGGAGGCTGTTGTTTTTGTTAACTTTCTGGGGCATTTTCAAAGGTTCAAAGATCTTCTTTCATCTTGTTTTGAGTACATTTTCAAAACATCCCTATCCTTGGCCTCTTAATTGCTGTCTCCTGCATGTATGTGGGTTTGGCCTTACAAATGGCTGCTTCCTCTCCACCCACCATAAATCATGCCACTGTGTTTTCATATACTTATTTTGAAATGATAAAGCCTTATTTTGTGACTATAAAGCATTCAACTTTATGGTTTATATGAGATACATGAAGAAATTGCACGGTACAATGAGCAAGCATTTGAAATAAAGTATAACTATGTTACAGACAGAACACCTATGTCTGTACATAAACTAAGTAAGCTTAAAGAGTTTGTGTAACAGACCACGGAAGCACGTCTCTGCTGAATTGAAAGAAGGCTGCTGTCTTATTTTTGTACAACCACAGATTGGTCTGAGAATAAGGAAAAAGACGTTTATGAAAGATGATACTGGGGCAATCCACCAACCTGAAAATCAGACCCAGTGATCTCCCTGCCCTGCTGAAAACTGTGATTGACTTTTTGAACAGCTACAACCCAGGTGAGTTTGTTTTACAACTTAGCCCAGCGTCTGCCAGAAACTTATCGGGTGCACAAATCATGAAATCCAGGGGCAAGGCGTTTGGCTGTTAGATAAGCAAAACTTCAGCACAGTGAGACCCCTGCGGCTGTTCCTGCTCCAGCCTGGTCTCCCCTTACCGACCATCCTTTGTTCCATGTGGACAAAGTCAATACTGAAAGCGGCTATTAAGCGATGCTACAATAGAGACATTGTTTTGAAGTTCGCTAGCTTTCTATGCTCATGTCTTTTGAAAAGCAGGTTGAGATGTGACAGGGGCCCATATCAGGCTGGCAGCTTTGCCTCCGCCACGAAGAGTTTTCTCCTCAGCCAGCAGAACTCAGATTCCACCTGCCTCCCAGGCCAGGCCAGGCCAGAGGGTCTGGGGGTGTGGGTGGGGGCGTGTGAGGGGGGAGAGGGGGAGGGTGCTGGCTGTGCTGGGAACGGCACTCAAGTGTAGTCCGGCATTTGTGAGTATAGAGCAGGCTCTTCTCCCTACAGCAAGAGTCCACTTTATAACCCAAACTATAGAAGACACTGGAGCCAAGCTTGCTGCTTTTCAGAAGTCTCATAATTTTAAGCCAGTTGCCTTAGGTTTTTGCTTTCCTAAGGAGACATGTTTACAGATAGTTTTCACCATATCTACAATTGCCATAACTGTCCAACGGAACAAGTTTCAGAAAAAAAACAAAAAACGAAACCTAAGTTGTCCCTGTAGGGTTTGACAGCGCAGTGGATTCGTCCATTTTCAGACTCTCCGACACGCGGACTGATTTGCGGACCAGGTTTGCTACATTATTGCACTGTAAACAGCAGCACATGCGCGGGCATATTTGCATCCTGACACGTCACGCCGGAGGGCAGCTAAACTGTTGCTACTCTCTTATCCTATTTAGAACTTACATCTGTTTGGACACAAGTATCAGGAATACGTTATATTTTCGACACATCTATTTCAGCATGTTTCAAGAAAAAGAAATTTAAGTCAAGTCTTTTTGATGTGGTAGGCGGTAGGTACATGGAGCCGATGATAAAATTGCCATAAAAACTTCTGGAAATAGGGAAATCTAATTGCTCTCTGAGGGTCACGCTTTTTAAAAGCATGCATATAATGGGTTCGAGCAAAGAGATGCAAAGTCGCCTTTGAAAAGGCTGGTCCCCAAGCCAAGACTTGACAGCAAGTTGACTGAAGGAAGGTGATCCCAGAGCTACAGAAATAACAGCTCATCCGGGGCGGAGGGTGGGAGGAGCTGGGTCAGCTTTGAAAACCTAGGAAATGGACGGGCAGGCTGACCTGGTAGCCAGCTTTCCATCCCCGGCCCCGGAGACAGTAGCCTGGCTCCCGCTGCTCAAGGCAGCAGGTGTCTCTCTGTGCAGACGAAGATGGGCGCGTCCATTTTATCAAGGCTCCGTGACGTCATCCATCGACGTCATCGTAAATCGCCATGTCCCGCGTTCCATCCCTTCTGTGCCAGCAAAGCCTCAGAAGATGATGGATTTCTCCACATCATGCTCCCTCCGTATGGGAACTGAAGATGACCAGCCAGCCTTCCTTCACCCAAAAGTTATCAGACCCCACTTGCCAGGAAAGCGCAATGGGCAGAAATGAGGGCTTTCCCAAGGGGCCTGTGGTTCTCTTCCAAGGTCTGTTGCGCCCACCACACACTCCCAGTCCCTGAGCCCATGTCAGTGTATCCAGCCCTCATCTTTACCATCAAGCACAGGGTGAGCGTTTGCATCAGGAGGCAGGAAAACGGAAGCCTAGTCACATCCATGATATTTTCCACGTGACCTTGGAAAGCCGCACGACCTCAACTATTTTGTTAATGAAAATGGAGACCACATGTGCAAAAAGTAATGGACTTGGACCAGGGACTCTTAAAGCCCCTTCCGGTTGTAGCCTCTGTTCCTTCACCTGCTTACTTTCTTTCGTGGATTATGAATTCCGTGGATTTGCCCCCAGGGGCTGATAAAAACATCCCTGGCCTTTACACAGTGCACAAGACAAGCAGCATAAATTCCTGTGTCATCCCACACTCTTTAAAAACAAATCTCACAAATTCTGAGTTCCATAACAAACCATGAAATAGGAAATAATTCACTGCAAATAGTACAAACCTGTGACAAAAGTTTGTAAGTGGAGACATCTTTTGTTTCGAGTTGGGTGCTTGACAAATTGTCAGTGCCTTATGACCGGAAACCAAACTCCTCGCCTTTCTTACTCCCCCATACTCATCACCCTCCCCGTTATCGCCACCTGCTGTTTCACCTGGGAGGCTGGCCCAGTGCCCTGGGAAGCACCTGGGAGGACAAGCACTCTAGAAATGAAAACAGCCCTATTTCTACCCCCGTGACATTCTAGATCTGGACCACAGCCTCCCTCTTGCTAAAAAAAGAGCCTCCTTCAACAGCACTGCAAGGGTAGCTACCACACGTGCCACGAACAACGACAGCACATATGATTAGGTGCTAGGCATTGTGCTAAGTGGTCACCATGGGTCACCTTTTAAAATCCTCAAGACAATCTATGAGGCTGATGCCATTATCATCATATACATATTTCTTGTTTCCTTTTACAGCAGAGCCCAAGGCACAGAAGCTTCCACTGCAGCGCGATGACTCCAGGCAGGATTTCAGAGCAGATAGATTTCACACAACGCTCTACTGCCTCCTAGTGGTCATCAGCAGTCCTCTGGCCACAGCCACCAGTCCCCGGTGGTGCTGGGTACAGAGCTGCCTCCTCCTGGGCCTGCCCAGGCGCACTCACCAGAATCTTGTGTCAACAGGGAACTCTCAACGTGGCCCCCAACAGAGAGGACAGAGAAGGGTCCCCAGCAGAAGCAATCTGTGCTCTAATTAAAAATATTAGAAAGCCATGAACTTATTTTGTCAGGAAGTTATTTTTAAAGTGTTGCAAAAACCTAAGAGAAGGAAATGGCATTTCTGAATAGCAAGTCCGAAGGCATTTGTGTAATTACTTCAGAAATAAAATGAAAATAAAAATAAAATGAAAACAAAGTCTGTGGTCTGTACACTTAAATTTTGAGTCAGATAACTAACTCCCCCTTGGTATTACACAAGTCACAGGTTTTGACAGATAATGGTGATGCAGTATCACATAATGAACGGGGGAAAACGGACGTCTCACTAATAAAATCAGTCCGAGCAGCAACGTGAGGCTTAAAAAGATGCGAGCAAGTGGCATGCCCAGCCAGGTGGACTCCGGGGAAACCCAAAGCCACCCCCGCAGCAATTCACAGGGGAAGTGACGGGTCACAGCCAGGGGACAAGACCACTTGAAAACAGCCGTGAGTCCTTATCTCAAATTTCACTTCCTTCTTATGTAGTCAAAAAGCCCTCAACCATGTCAGACTTTTGTTTTGTTTTATTTTCTAAACAAATAAGAAGTTATCGAGAACAGTTTTGCCTTCAGGTGTAACGTAAATTCTCTAAGAACAGGCAAACTATGGCAGCTGTAGCTGAATCCCCTGACCGCCGGCACGGACCTCAAGGAGTCTCTGTGTGGTCGGTCTTGTTCCCAATTGAGACTGGGCTCCAAACCAGGACCTGAATCACTGCGATGCCCAGTGGGACCAGGCAGACCAAGTTAAACATAGCATCGTGAAGATCTAAAATTGTACTAGGAGAAAAAAAGATGTAAAACACAGTTAGTTTCTCCAGTGGTTCCTTTTCTTACTAATTCAAAACTATATAACAAAAGGTTTCAGAAAAGCTTCGCCATGTATTAAACCCATTGGAAAAGTAAGAGGAATTTTATCGTACAATTTGGATTCTTTCAAACAGTTGAGAAACCCCTACCTCCTCGCTGTTGGGACCAGAGGAGAGGGACAGGAGAGTGACAAGGCCTGGTGAAAAGTGCTGTTGCCACAGTGCACGGGAGAGAGGGCGGAGACAGACCCAACGTGTACATATAAACTTCCACGTGCTCGTGAGGCTGGTCTCGAAATTACCCTCCAGCGGGCTTTAGACAAACGGAGAGCTGCGCCCTCATTATTATTACTCGGGTTACTTCCATTCAACACGCTTGGAGGTTATGAGGAGAAGCCAGGGGCGATGATAATATTCCCAAGTAGCTGTCGGGCTGTTCTGCCAAAACTCCCATTCAGCCCAAAGGTTTCTAATGGGTCTCGATATGCAGTCTCGATTACGTAATGGATTTTGTTTAGGTTTCCTGCCAAGTAGCCACTGATGACGCTGTCATCTAACACACACACTGGCGGACTCTGACCATGGGACAAACACACCTGTCCATTCCGGAACGTCCCTTCCAGCAGCAGGAAGCCGGCCAGGGCTGTCAGGGCAGCACCCTGCCTCCCGAGGGACAGGCTCGTGGTCCGCTTGCCCTGTGGGCTTTCCTCCACCCTGGACTTAGCTCCCTGGGCAGGGCTTCCCAGCCGCCGCACCACTAATGCCACGCATGCTCCCAAGGGCAGGGAGGCATCATGTCTTGCGACCGCGTGTGTGCATTCCCAGCTCAGGGCTAACACCTCGCAGGTACTCCATAAATGTGCGCTGGTAGAAAGAGGCAAGCTGAGATGGCCTTTTCCACAGTATACTAGAATGGCGTGGTCAGCTTGTGTGTGTGTGAAAAGTGTGGACTCTGGGGCAATTTTTAAATAGGAGCTGCCTGTATACAACAATAAGGATCCCGATTTCTCTCTTCTCCCCTATAATCAGAGATCACACGTGGGTTTTCTTGACCAAGTAGCCCAGTAATGAATCTCCATTAATAATAAACGCAGCCATCACGCTTACAGGCAGCTCAGGAATAGACCCCTGGGTCAGTAAGAAGGAAAGAGATCGATTAAACTTGGTAAAATAACCCGTCCTGCAGAGCCCACATTTCTCTCACTGAATCAAGGAATCACAGACCATCTTTCCCAAACGTCAGGGGAAGAATAATGCCCCTGAACCGTATGGTGCTGCTTGTTGTAACCGTAAAACAGTAACCAGTTATTAGAAAACTTGCTCGCAAGTATGAAATCTGCTTCAAATACACCTGTGTGTTAAGCTTGTCGTACTGATGGACCTCAAAGTGCTCTCTGATCATCTCACCATCTGCTGAGTATACAGCTGGCCTCTGGACTTCAGTCGAACAAGTAAGATTAGTGTTAGTGATGTGAGGCCACTAGATGCCAAACACTAAATTATCAGAGAGAAGTGACACGTGGGTGCCCTAATAAAGTTTATATTAGAAGTGCTCACAGCATCATGAGACCGGCCTGCCAGCGTGGCTGGTTGTCAACGTATCTGTGCCGAATGAACAGGCACTAGTCTCTAGTGCCTGTTGCCAGGGAGGTAAATCTCTAGGCCCTGCACACTGGCTGCACAACAGAAGCCAGGGAGTTTGAAAACACTGATGCCGGGATCTCGCCCCCAGAGACTCCCCGATTTCACTGGTCCAGGGTGTGGCCGGGCCTCAGGACGTTTTCAAGTCCAAGTGATGCGAATGTCCACCGCGGCTGAGGACCACTCCTGGAGGGCCTGTTCGCAAAGGAACTTTAGAGGGACGCATGTCAAGGGCACCCTTTCTTCCTCCGTCTCTCCTACACCTGTCAGGGAGTGAGCTTTGAGTCCCTCCCACCCCAGAGTCCTTCCTCTCCCCTTGCAGCCCCCATGGTTTGCTCTAGAACATGGCCTGAGGCTTTTCATGTGGCTTGGGTTTCAAGCAAATGCCCCAGTGCAGCTGGAAAACAAACGCTTCGTAGGTGGAGAAAGGGTTCCTTCAAATTCCATGGCAGAAACGCTGCCCAGGACAGTCAGCGTTGACTTCCCTCCTCACACACTCAGCTCATTGTCCTAACACACAACGAACTACCCAACTGTGAGTGGTGCCTCCATAACTCAGTTTCTCCAAGTTCTGTGGATTCTGACTCCTTGAGCTCTCCCATGTCAGTCTCCCCACTGCCCTCCACATCACAGCGCATCAGCTCAGGCTCACACGGGCGTCTCTCATGTAAAAATCAGTTCACTAGCCTTCAAACTCTTCTTTCTCTACAATTCGTCCAACCTCCCTTCAAAGCATTCTCCACGCTGCAAGGTGATGCTTTCAAAGGCAACTCTGATATTATCAGTCGGCGGTTTAGTAACGGTAACGTTCCATTCCCTTTAGCGTCCAATGCACACTCCTCAAATTCCACTAAGCCGTCTGCAGACCCAGGCCGGGCACGTGGCACCCCAGTGCCTTTGCACTTGCTGTGCTTTCTCCCAGGGATGCTGACCCCCCCCTCCCCCCGAGAGCCGCATGATTCCTTCAGGTCCCCTCCATGTTTACTCAAATGTCATCTACTTTGAGGCAAGGCCTTCCCCATCACCCTATTTTAAAGTGTGCTTTCCCCAACCCTTCCTATTCTCTTCCTTGGTTTATTTTTCACCAGAGAACTTATCACCACCTAATGTACTATGTGTTTTACTTACTCCATTTCCTGTTTGCGCCCCTCCCACTAGAACGTAAGCTCAGTGAGGGCAGAGATTTCTGTTGGTTTGTGCACTGCCCTGTCACAGAACCTAGGACGTGGGAAGCTCTCAATAACATTTGTCGAGTGAACAAATGAAGAGCTTACTGAGAGTCCTCGTGCGACCACACACTTGCCATGACGTTTTTCTCTGCCCAGAATGACATTCCTGTGTTTGGGGGGGGGGTAGGGGGGGCAAACCCAACTCTGCCTCCAAAACTCAGCTCCAGGACCCCTCTCTGTGACGTGCCCTGTGACCCTAGGCACACCAAGGCAGGGCCTCTTCTCGGGAGTCCCTCAGCGCCCCATTATGCTCCTGAGGGCCCTTCTTACAATGTCTAGTAATCTGTGGGGCTCCTTGCTCATCTTGTACCCCCAGCACCTTTGAACCTGGCAGGTAATACTAGCAGGCCCTCAGAAACATTTGTGAGTGAAACAACAAACAAACAAATGACTTAGATAAAGCAATGACTGTGCCTAGTGTGGACTGTATAGATATTTGCAGCACATGTAATTTAAAGAACACCCTTAAAGATACTCCTACTAAAGTCCTCCTGACATCACTACTTCTTACATAACAGCTCACTCAAGGTCTATGAGCTGATGACTAATAACACCCAAAGTCCAGGACAACTGCCTACTAATTAGTAAAAAAGGCTGACTTTGCTTTCATATTTCTTTTCCACGATTTCAGACTTGTTTGTTTGTTTACTCTACCTTTGGTGTGGGTCTCTATATCCATACTGGTTTAGCCTGGAGAGTATCACCATGGGAGCGAGAGACTGAGCAGGTTTGGTGAATAAGGCGTTGATGCCAAAAACCATTGAGGAAAGGGGTGACCTGGAACACAAAAAGGGAGCACAGGTCTGTACCACACAGGAATTACACGTGTGCATACATGTATGCGTGTCGGCATAGATACGTACACGTATGTGTGTATTGCGGATATTCTGTCTATTAAGTCCTTCTTGAGCCCAACAAGACAGTAATAGAAATAGTATAGTAGTTAGAGTCAGGGAAGACTTAGTTACATATTTATCTATTAGGTATATATTTTTCAACCCCTTAGTCATAGGGGTTATAGAATTACAAGAAACTAAGTCTTTAAGTGAAGGAGCTAAGATTCAAACAGGAGACACAGCTAGTCCCTTAAAGGTTCACTAATGACAGTCCTACGCGCCTTGTATGGTACCAAGTAGCTACATGTATTATTTCACACTGAAGCCCCACCACAATCCTATTAGGAAGAGATTATCGCTCCTATTCTCAGATGGGGAAACAGATTAACTCATCCACAGTTGCTCAGCTAGTCAGGAGCAGCACGCCTAAGTCTTCCTGTCCCAGTTTCGTTAAGGATTATGTTAATGTGTTCCTCGTAAGAATCTGGCCATGGCATTTTTTTTTTATATAATTAAGTCATGACCCACAAAATAAATCAAGTACATCGACTGAATAAACTGAAATCCTGTCATGTGTTAGCGAACGATGGAAACCTTGTCACTAAGGGTAAGAAAGAGGAGCAGAAACGGGAGGAGGAGAAAGAAGAAGTGGAAACAAAAACAGAAGGGAGGAAGGAAAAGACGAGGCCAGAGCGTGGGAGGGAGCTTGAGTTGCAGGTCGGAGCTGGACTTTCGTTCCCTGTTCTTCCATCGGCTGGTTCTACTACCTCAGAAAGCGAGCCCCTCAAGGGTCTTAGTTTCCTGGAAATGGGGATAATGATGACAAACTAATAGAATTGCTCTCTGCCTCTCCCACTAGACTGCCAATGCCACGAGGTCAAAGGTCAGATGTGTCTGTTCCCGCTCGGTGTGTTAAGTTCTCATCTGATATGACCAGGACAGAAATCGGCTAAAGCAAAAAAAATAATTTTAAGAAGAACAGACACGAACCATCTATGTTAACTCCTACGCCTGACACATAGGAGGCAATCAACCACTATTTGTTGAGTCAATAACATACCTACCACACGAGGCTGCTGTGAGGCTTGAGTAAAGGCTTGTGTAAGCAGAGGCCACACACACACACACACACACACACACACACACACACACACACGGGTCTGGCACACGGCCTGTGGTACATGGTGCCCCTTCCTTACCAGCCGTTGGAGAGATTTTATTTATTTCCACCCAGACACACTCAAAAACCACCTGAGAGTTGTGGTATGTTGACTGAAGTTATTGCCTATCAACGTTTTCATGTTTAAAAAGTGACTTGAGCCTGTCACTCTTCTAGGCACTGGGGACACAAAAGTGATTCCTTGGTCCTGGACCGTAAGGAGCTCACCATCCTGCTCATCGTTGCAAATATGACTTAGCGACAAAACCTTGAGACAGGAAAGGAATTAGATCAAGAGGAAATCAAGTGGCTGGATGGGCAAAGCTTTTCTCCATTTAAGTTGCATTAAAAAAAAAAGAAAAGAAAAAGAAGAGGCCATGCAGTCTAGATGTGTCCACAGAGCAAATAAAGAATGGGCTCATCTTAAAACACCACATTCCTCTCTCGTCTGTATAAGAGGGCACATGTCAGAAAATGTCTGCCATCAAGTGAATTTTATAGCTGATCTAAACCACGAATAACCCTACCAGAGAACAAAAGCTCTCCTTATCAGCTTACACTTGTTCAAGTAAAAAAGGATAAGAGGACCCTCGATTTTTCATTTTAATTCTTGCGATGTCACAAGCAAAGGTCCTTTGGCCTCATCATCCAGTGTGATGATGCGACTTGCAACATGCAGAACATAAAGCTGTCTGACATTTCACTTTGGTGTCTGAGTTTCGCCCTGGTGTCACATTGGCTGTGTGAGCCTGAGGGATGAACAATTATGATGTCCTTCCAGAAGCAGGGGCACAATTATGAATGTCCCATTATGTTCTGCTCTTTAATTCCCAGACAGTCCCTTATGATCATCTCTCTGTGACAACATAACTGGGTCATGGAGACTCATAGGTCCCACCACTGTGTGACACTTTCGTAGCTAACATTTGAATAAATAATTCAACTACTTACTGCCGATTGAACTTCAGTAGATCTGCATCAACCACATCAGCTAGTGGCAGGTTAAATAAGCAAAAGGAAGCCCGTACAGTCACCCTAGAAACAATTTTAAAACACACATATGAAAATTTTATAACTAGGAGGCATGGATTTTGTTTAAAAAACTAAACATTGAATAAGAGCCAACATTTGGTTTGTAAGAACGAAAAATAAGATAATATACTGTAAGAGTAAAGATTATTAGGCATATACTTCTATCCCCCAAAATATTATATATCTATGAATATATAATTCTCTTTTTAAATAACTACTCTTGCTTGGGACTTTAAAAAAATGGTTTTTATGCTTTGTTCTTATTCTCAAATGACTACCTGCTCATTTAACCTGCTTAAATTATCAACAGATTCTCAAGAATAAAACATGCCAGGGAAATTCATTAGATGTCTTTCCCTTGATATCAAGAATAGGACAAGTTAAGGGGCCAGCCGAGTAGCTCAGTTGGTTAAGAGCTCGCTCAAGAGTGCGAGCTTTGAGTAACTGCGTTGCCAGTTCTATTCTTGGCCCGAGCTGAGCTGCCTGATAGCTCAGCTAAAAAAAAAAAAAAAATAGGATAAGAACTAAACAAGAACATATTTTTATTAAGGTAGAAGAATGAAAATAGAGGGAAAGTTTAAGTTAGAAAAAAAGCAAACATTTTTCATTCTAAAAACCACTAAAATGACATTTAAAAATGTCATTTTAAATTTGATCTAGTCAGGGCCACCATGATAGATGTAAAGAACAGTTATCTATGTGGGTTCTAAAGTCTTGAAGCTTCACAGAGAGTCAGTCCTTTGGGTTAATTACTATACTGTCTGCTATGCATTTGTTCTAAACACAAATAAGTTTCCAAGAAAACTTTTTCAAATGGTTCCAGCAGGAACCTGGCATAGGACTTATTAATTCATTCATACAAAACACATTTTCTAAGGATCAGCTATTTGCAGGAACTGAGATGGAAGCAGACTGACCGTGGGGCCACAGTGATAAGACACTGGACTCTTGATAAGCTCCGCCCAGTGGGGGCCACAGACAGTCACAGGCAGGGAGGCGGACCATGTGACAGCAGAGGCAAGCAGGGGGCACTGGGGTCGAGCAGGAGGGACACCGAGTGCAGATGAGGAAACCGGGGAGCCTTCCCGAGAAGCACCCCATGAGCTGCAGCCTGAAGAAACACTCGTGGGGAGCTAGCCAAGAAACGGGGACGAGCATCCCAAGCACAGAATGTGGCACATTAGACAAGGAGGGGTGTGGACCCTGAACCGCAAGGTACTTCTGTCCGGTGTGAGTGGAGGAGCAACAGGTTAAGAAAAACTTCAGTGAAGCGAAGCGCTTCAAGCAAAGCTGTTAACACTCAGGCAATTGGGCAGGAAGGTACGATGACTCTGCCTAGCAGCCAACATTAAACCCAGTTCCGATCAAAGATGCCTCAGTTCTTGAAAGGACAAATGGCCAGACGCAGTGTAAGCGTGGGGCCGGCGCTGGCACTTACTTACATGATAGTTGTGAGATAAAGAGCCAGGATGTAATGGCATCGCGGTCCAAGGAGTAACATGGCAATGGAGGCTGCTCCTTCCAGGTAGAAAGACAGTAAGATGGCTTTATAGTAGCCAGACTTCTTCAGCCAGGACTGGCCCAGAAGGACAAGGCACTGAAATGGAAACAGGAGGACATGGTGTGAAGGTGGAACCCCATGAATTATGCTTACTCTTGCCAGCAACAAAATCCATGTTCTCAGCAAAATGTAAAATTGCTTCTGAATTATAACACACAACGAATACTATCAGGGTTAGAAATGCTTTTACCCATAGATATCCATAAAAATTGACCAAGGATGGGGATATTCCATAAATAACAAAGGGACAGCTATTATGTCCTAAAAATAAACCAGGAAATGGTTCCCTTCATTTTGATATTCACACTGACAAGAAGAGATTTTACTAAAACCAACCCTATGGAAGAATGCATCGCATAGAAACAGTCGGCATGGCTTTATGGTGATGTGAAAGGTCCAACTCAAATCTGAAATAAATCCAATTTTAAAATTTGGGATGACAGCCCAGAATTCACCTAGCACGCAGGAGATAAAATAAGTATTTACTGACTAAATAAATTTATATTTCACTATTCTTCTTACTGGAATATAAGTCTGAATTGTACATTTTAATCCTAAAATCAAGCACCAGAGATAAACAATAGTTTATGATTCTATCCACATTTCTTCTTCTTTTGTTGCCTGCTTTATCTTACATATCTTCATAATTCTAACAGATTTGTGTTGAGAGCTCAGACTTCCATTTTTTTCTGCATTTCTTGCTACCAATGAAAAAGTCCATTGTTCTGGACTGAAAAGTTTGTGCTAAATAGACATATGTACATTAACGAAGATTAAAAGGTACTCTTTGTTTTCAATAAAAAAGTACATTGTTTAGCCCTCAAAAGTTTTCACTAACCAAACGTACATACATTACAATTAAACAGAATTTTGAATGACGCCAGTAGAATACAAATGTTCTTTAATACACATAGGGCTTTTTTCCCAATTGAGTTTTCAGCTTACTTCTCTACTTTTGAGGGACAAGACCTCGTTTTCTGGATTCTAAACCCAGTGGCTCAATGACTAATGTAATCCCAGTCCTTTCTTAGAGTTCTATAAGAGAAAGTACATACAAAACACCCCGGCAAGTCCCCTTATGTGCCTACCTAGAATAATACACAATATTGTACAATTACACATTTCACATATGGAAATCAAGCCTCTTGTTCTCAATCTCTAATACATAAATAAACAAAATACAAGAAACTAGTGATGTGAGAAATAATGTGGCAGAATGGAAAGAGCAAGATTCTGAAGTCAGATGTCTGGAGGTTTGAATTCCAGCTTTGCCGCGTTACCAGCTGTGAATTCAGACAAGCTCCTTCGCCTAAGAGTCACTTCTTCCCACTAACACTCCCCACCACCTCTGCCTCTCTCGTCTACCCCACACTCAACATACAAGGCACTCTGTCCTTGCTACTTATTATTATTGTGCCCAGTAAGTAAAAACATGTGAGCCAATGATGAGGAATCGAACAAAAATCATGAGAGAGCGAGAGAGAGAGCCTGCTTTTTCTTCACTAAAAGAAAGCCTTCTTTCTACAAACTGAGGGTTTCGGCTCTCCACTCATCTTTACTGGGTAGGCGTTTGTGAGTGGTGTGTCCCAGCATCCGTGTTGGGGGGGCCTGTGCCAAAGAAGCCGAAATCAAAACAGGCACCCAGATGGTGCTGTGCTCACAGCAAGCCTAATCAATACGTGCTGATTGAGTCTCCATAATAAGAGTTAGCATTTACTGTGGGCCAGGAGCCGCTTGAAGTACGCTGTATGTCTCGATTCATGTAATCCTCACAATCATTCCATTACTTAGGTGCCATTTTTATTCTCACTTTACAGACGAGGAAAGTGAGACACAGAGAGGTTGAGTGACTTACCCAAGGTCACACAGCTACTGACAGGGGAGCCAGACTCCTCCCCAGCAGATTCTGCTCTTGACCCTTTTACCGTTCTGCCTCCCTGAGGCAAGTGGGTGGGGCGTGGGAGAAGCACAGGCCTATTGAAATAGTAATTAGACAGAAGGAACGCTTGTTCATTCTTTTCTCCTTTCATTTATTCCATTCTTCAAAGAGACAGCCACGGAGAAGACGGCCTGAGAAAATGAAAATACAGTGCTTATCCTCAATTACTATACCTGACAGTTAAAAGTGATGAAGTGACTCAGCCAAATAAATAACAATAACAACAGATTCCATTGAACTGTTATATTTTTTTACCCCAATAATTTACACAAGTGTCACTTCTCTAGAAATTACAAATATATTTAAAGCAACTTCAGATTTCTACTCTACAATTATTTTTTTACTGAGATCGAGAGAATTTCGTATGTAGTGTGAGGACTTGAGAACAAGGACTATTGAAATCTTTTGGCCACACTTCTCTGAAAATTTAAGAGAGACTGGAAGAAAATATTTGCTGAACAAATATCCAACACAGAATTGGTATCTAGAATATATAAAGAACTCTTCCAATTCAATAATATGATAAACAACTCAATTAAAAAGATAGTCAAAGATTGGAACAAAGAATTCACCAAAAAAACAAAAAAATGTATGGGTGGGAAGTAAGCACACGAAAAGATGCTCAACGTCATCGATCATTAGGAAAATGCAGATCAAACCACAGTAAGGTACCACCACACACCTGCTAGCAAGGTGGAAGCTAAACAGAGTGATGATAAGCACAGGTGAGAACGGGGAGCAGCTGGAACACTTACTCCTTGCAGGAACAGAAAATGGGTCAGCCACTTGGAAAACAGTTTGGTGGTGTCTTTAAAAGTTAAACATACACTTGCCGGATAGTCCAGCCATTCCACTCGTAGGTATTTCCCTAAGGGAAGGGAAAGCGTGTGTCCATACAAATTGGGGTACACTTACACGATCGATTACTACTCAGCAATAGAAGGGGATGAAATGCGGACACCCACAAAACATGACTGAAGAATCCAGACCCCAAAATAGTACCTACTCTATGACTCCATGTCAATAAAAATCTGGAAACTGCAAACTAACCTGTAGACACAGAAAGCAGGTGGGTCGTTATCTAGGGTTGAGGAAGAGTGGGGCAGGGCGAGAGTGAATACAAAGGGGCACAAGGAAACGGTGGGGAGGGATAGGGTGCTATCCACCCTCGTTGGGGTGATGGCTTCGCGGTGCATACATATGTCAGAATGCACAGGATGCGTGGTTTAAACACATGCAGTTTATTGAGGGTCAACTGCCCCTCAAGAAAACGGTCAGCAAAAAGCGGCCTTTCTTTCAGCTCTTACATTTTTTCCCAAGTATTTAATAAAGCATGAAAAACAAGAACAGGAACCTGTATTAAAAAACTACTAAGAGTGGTATGTAATAGGAAACTCCTGGAAATGGCCTCAGACCCATCAATAAAGTTCAATTACGGAACACTGATATAACTTACCCCCAACACAACTATTTTTAAAAAGTACATTCATAGGCAACATGGGGATTTCTGTAACCTATTCAGTTTAAAAAGCAGTATATAGAAAGTTCATGGACAATCTCATTTTAAGAATTACATGGATAGTTTTGTTTTAAAAACCTCAGTAAGTGAAATATGGGAGGGACTAGTAGTTTTTAAATAATTTGGTAGTGTATGAAATTTTACAGCAAACATATTATTTTTATAATAATAATTTAAAAACCAGTTATGACTTGTTCAGAAGCAGAGAACCCTTCACTCCATGAGAACCAAACATCTGGGGATCTCTACCCAGAACATGGCTACAAACTAAGAGGAAACGAAAAACGTCAGCAGGAACTGCCACAATCAGACCGCTAAAGCCATGCCCTAGGTAAAGCCCATTTACTGCACTCCTAAGAGCCCCTCAGGTCTCCACTTAAGCAAACAAACAAACAAACAATCTGACTATGGGAGAATAAGTTGAAAAAAAGGAAGGCAACAGATAGCCTCTGAAAAGTACAAAACTGGTCGAAATTTTAAAAGGTGTAAACAGATGGAAGACATTCCATGTTCACAGATCGGAAGACTGAACGGGGCTAAAATGGCACCGACCTGTAGATTCGAGGCAACCCCTACCAGCTCCCCAGCTGTCCTCTTCGTAGACTGACAAGCTGAGTCTAAAATTGACGTGGAAGTGCACGGGACCCAGAAGAGCTGAAACAATCTTGAAAAACAAGAACAAAGTATAATAGTCGGGCTCATACTTCTGAATTTCCTCAAAAAGGTGAAAAGATAGCCTACAGAATAGGAGAACATTTCTGCAAATAATGTATTTGATACCAAAACCCAGTGACTTGTACACGTCCGATGGGTGAATTGTACAGTATGTGAATTATATCTTTTGGTTGTATCAAAAATATACAAAGAACAATTAAGCTCAACAATAAAAAGACAAATAACCCAATTAAGAACTGGGCCAATGAGCTGAACAGAGATTCCTCCAAAGAACACATACAAATTTCCACCAGCATACGAAAAGGTGTTTAACTCCACGTCACTAGCCATCAGGGAAAAGCGAATCTTAATTAAAGGCTGTGGGGTTTGTTTTCTGAGATGATGAAAATGTTCTAAAATCAACCCTGGGGATGGTTGCACATATCTGTGAATATACTAAAAACCACTGAATTGCATACTTTAAACGGGTGGATTGTATGGTATGTGAATTACAGCTGTTCAAAACAAATCTACTG